TTTGGGCCAGGCTCAGTGGCTCAACCTGTAATCCCAGCACTTTGGGAGGCCAAGGCAAGTGGATTGCCTGAGCCCGCGGGTTCAAGACCAGCCCAGGCAGCTGGATGAGACCTCGTCTCTACAATAAATAAAAAATTAGCCGGGTGTGGTAGTGCATGCCTGTAGTTCCAGCTACTTGGAAGGCTGAGGCGGAAGGATCGCCGGAGCCAAGCAGGTTGACACTGGGGTGGCTGTGTGAGTGTGCCACTGCACTCCAGCCTGGGCAATGGAGTGAGACTCCAACGCAAAAAAAAAAAGCTGACATTTGGAATCTGGTCAAGGATGATTGGTGAGTGGTGACTGGAAACACATGGGCAGAGGACAGGGCGCTCTACTACACAACTTCAGAACCAAGTGGCAGTGGAGCCTGGAGTTTGCAAATGCAGCTGCTGGAGCAGCTGGGTGGCTACTCTCACACCTGAAAGTGTGGCCTTGATCCAAGGCTGCCTAGTAGCATTCACTTGCATGAAGTTGTACTTCCCACTATAGCTGTCTATCCAGTCTACTCAAGAAAATAACCATAGAAGAAGAAAGAAAGGGGAAGGTAAAGATTTCCTGTGAATACTACTCAAATTATAGCCAGAGGCATCTCACTTTTCCATGTATGCTGTGTAGAAAAGACCACAGTTACATTAAGTAGTTCATGTGGGTAAGCCCTTTTGGTCTGAACTCCTCCCTCCATCACTCCCCAGAAATAATTTTGAAAGCATTCCACTTCTGTGGGGAAGAACAGGGGGAAAGGTTTATTATACAACCAAAGTATTTGAAAGCATAAAAAATTAACAGCTTAAAATGTGATTTCTTTTATTTTTTTTAACTCCTGAGAGTTAAACCAGTTTTATTTGTGGTCAATATTCAACTGTTAGCTTTATTACAATCAATCTTGAACCTTCCTGTTAATGCTATTGAGTTAGTTGGGCCTGAAGGACTTGAAATGAGTCAATTAAAAGAAAATTAGCAGGTGTGGTGGGTCATGCCTGTCATCCCAGCACTTTGGGAGGCCGAGGTGGGAGGATTGCTTGAGCCCAGGAGTTTTGAGACCAGTCTGAGCAACATAGCAAGACCTTGTCTCTATAAAAAAATAAAAAAATTAACAAGATGTGGTGGCACATGCCTGTAGTCCCAGCTACTCTGGAGACTGAGGTGGAAAGATTGTCTGAGCCCAGGAGGTCAAGTCTGTGGTGAGTGAAGATCATGCCACTGCACTTCGGCCTGGACAACAGAGTGAGACCCCAACTAAAAAAAAAGTTATGTTTGATTGGACGAGTTATCTTTCTTAAGAGCTCTTTTGAAAGCAAGTGAACAAATGAATGAACTGGCGAATGAAAATATACACCCCAAAAAACAGAATTATTTTTTTGGAGGGTGGACTCTCATAGTACCAGTTCCCCCTGCTGGATAAGTGTTCTAGGAACCCATTGGCATCAGTGTACCAACTAGTGTTGTTGTGAGAGACTACTTTCGACTTCAGTGAATTTTTTTTGGAGATTGTTTCAATACGTTTGCCCATTTCACGATGAGCGATTTACGAGTGTACCTGCCTACACCATGCTTAATGTTCACCAGTTTTTGACCAAAAACGACATGAACCCCCATGCCCCACCCTCCCTATTCACCCACTCTTTCCCTGAGTGACCTATTTTTTTAATTTTCCCTGATGAAAAAAATCCTCAAAGGGAAACGTTTGGCCGATGTGAAAGAGGCGAAACTAAAAACTGCACAAGCACTAAAAAGCATCAAAATTAACTAGTCTGAAAACTTTTGAGCAGTGGAAAAAACATCTCAGTAGGTGTATTACATCAAACAAAGAGTACTTTGAAGGTGCCTGAAGTTTAAACATTTAATAATAAATACACAATTTTTTTTTTTTTTTTTTTTTGAGTAGGAGTCTCATTTTGTTGCCCAGGCTGGAGTGCAGTGCCATGCTCACTACCACCACAGCCTTGACCTGCTGGACTTGGGCGATCCTTCTATCTCAACCTTCCAAATAGCTGGAACTATAGGCACGCGCCACCACACCCGGCTCATTTTTTTGATTTATTGTAGAGATAAGGTCTTGCCAAGTTGCCCAGGCTGGTCTTGAATCCCTGGACTCAGGCAATCCTCTTGCCTTGGCCTCCCAAAGTGCTGGGATTACAGGCTTGAGCCCCCATGCCCAGCCTTAAGTGCACAATTTTTAATAAATAATTTCCAGGTTTTTTTGGGTCCCCCTTCTTACATCCAGGTGTGTATGTTATATAAATTCTGCTCATTTTTACTGAGGACTCAGAATATCCCACTGCTCTTTCATCACGACGTAAGACATTGGGGACTTACTTATAAATTCGTCTTTATTGTTTGAAAGGTTAAAAGTTAAATGTTCTGTTTTACAGCAGTCGCGAAGGCGAAGGAAGAAACCAAGCCCTACCTACCACTCCCACAACCTTTCCCAGGGAGCCTGCGAGCTGACCATGGGCCGTTTTCCTTTCCTCACACCAGTGTGTACCAGCCTGCCTTGATGTCTTCATCAGCACAGCCTGGAAAACCATACACAGGAAATACAAACATTCCCTGGGTGACCTCTGCTAGGCCAAAGCTCCTTCCACCTCTTGCATTTAATCACACGGTTGGACACATAATACTTTCAGAACATAAAAGTGTAAAATTTAATTGCTCAATAAAGGTACCTAATGTGTACCAGGACAGCACAATTTCTTGGTGGAAAGATGGGAAGGAATTGCTCGGGGCACATCATGCAATTACACAGTTTTATCCAGATGATGAAGTTACAACAATAATTGCTTTCTTCAGGTATGTGTTCTTACTTTCTTTTTAAAAGTTGTTTTTGCTAATACTGCCTCAAAAGCAAAGGCAGCCATTTGTTTCCTATTTAAATAACCCTGGTCCCTTTAGAGCATTGATGAATAGCTGACAGTCTGTGTTGTTGACCTCTTTTAAATTGATCTTGGCCCCGTTGGAACTGTTGTTTAACCTATACTCGGGGCTGGAGCTGGGGGCTACTTCCCACCTGACCTGCACATCACACCAATTACAGCCAGATCCAAAAACTCTACCAGTGAGTGAAAATAGTTTTTCTTTCTTTCTTTTTTTTTTGAGTTGGAGTCTCACTCCATTGCCAAGACTGGAGTGCAGTGACGCACTCACGGCCAAATCGCCATCAAATAATGGGCTCTGGTGATCCTTCTGCCTCAACCTTCCAAGTAGCTGGAACCACATGCATGCACCTCCATGCCCAGCTAATTTTTTGATTTATTATAGAGCTGAGGTCTCGCCAAGTTGCCTAGTCTGGTCTCAAACCCGTGGGTTCAGACAATCCTCTAACCTCAGCCTCCCCAAAGTGCTGGGATTATAGGCATGAGCCACTGGGCTCGGCCAGGAATAGTGTTTCTTAAGGGGTATGAGGAGACATCAAAATCACACAGAGGCTAGGTACATAGTCCTAGCTACTCTGGAGGTTGAGGCAGGAGGATCACTTGGCGCGGCCCCAGGAGGTCTTGGCTGTAGTGAGCTATGATTGTGCCACTGCACTCCAGCCTGGGCAACAGAGCAAGACCCTGTCTCAAAAAAAAAAAAGGAAAAAAAGCACCCAGTGGTCGTGGGGCATGGGGGTGTTAAAACAGTGCAGCCTCCCATCCTCATTTGCCCCATGGCCCCTGCTTTCCTCCTCTCTCTACCCTTGCTTCTGAGAATCCTGATACAGATGGAGCCCCTATGCATATGGGGCTAGGGAAAGGTGGAGTCCAAAGTCTCAGGAAATGATACAGGCCCTCGGCCACTGGGATGCCATCTCAGTATTTTACGTTGTTCTACAAGAGCAAACTAGGTGAAGTGGGGGGTGACAGGGATAGCCAAGCCAGGACTTGTGTCTGGAATGCTCCATTCTCTCAGAGATGGAGCCATCATATCTCAGAATGCTACAGGTCGGGTAGAACTACCTCTCTTCTCATCACCCCCTTTCTATTCTTTACTCTTTCCTCTTTGCCAGGAAGTTTAAGTTCTGCTCCAGGACTTCATTGCATGGATAGTTTTAGAATTGTGTTGACCTGTGGTTTTTAAAGGCTCAAAAAGAGGTCAGAGCCACACAGAGTTGAAGCGAGAAGGTTTTCTCTTGGATTCCTCCATTCTGGAGTGGAGCCCTCTTTGATCTGTTATGTTTTCACTTTCTCTGACACTATCCTTGGCGCGGCCCCGTACTGTGTCATGCCTTTCAGTGAATCATTTTATGTTTCCTTTTCAGAAAACCACCTCTCAGTTACCGCAGGGATAATGACCTGGTTAGAGTTTAGTGTGTCAACACTTCCACAAGATGTGCCTTTTCTACATTTTATTCCAAGTTTTAGGTGTGGTCAGCAGATAACCCCTCAGCCTCAAGGCAAAGAACACAACTTCCACATTTTCCCTTGGTTGACTTAAGCTCTGGCTAGGTCTCTCTGCCTACCATTCTCAACCAGTGACTAAGACCATTTAGAAGATTTGACTGTATTTTTTTTCTGCATCAACTACAAAATGCTGATGTCTTACTATCATACAGACATAGCTTGTGATGAGAGAAGTAAAATCTTCATTTAATAGTAAATGAATGAAGAGCCATTTGTTTATATTTTTAATCGGAGTCTCACTCTGTTGTCCAGGCTGAAATGCAGTGGCAAGCTCACAGCCACCACAGCCTTGACCTGTGGGCTTAGGCGATCCTTCCGTCTCAGCCTTCCAACTAACTGGAGTCACAGGCATGTGCCACCACGCCCAGCTAATTTTTTGGTTTAGTGTAGAGACTAAGTCTCACCAAGTTGCCCAGGCTGGTCTTGAACCCCTGGACTCAGGCAATCCTCTCCTTCCAAAGTGCTGGGATTACAGGCATGAGCCACCGCACCTGGCTGAGTAGTAGTTTAAAATCTTAAACAAACAGGAAGCCAGCACATTGGTCTCATGGGGTATCACATAGGAGGAGAGCCTAGCCCTGCCCTGCTGCCTGTCTGGGCTTGGCTCGACCATGGGTGAGCTGCTACATCTCTCCCAGTGTTCTTTCCAGAGAAAGACATTGAGTGAGACCTCCTCCCTACAAAAAAATTAAAAAATTAGCCGAGCATGATGATACACGCCTGTAGTCCCAGCTACTTGGGAGGCTGAGGCGGAAGGATCGCCTGAACCAAGGAGGTTGAGGCTGTAGTGAGACGTGATTGTGCCACTGCACTCCAGCCTGGGTGACAGAGTGAGACCCTGACTCAAAAGGAAAAAAATAAAACAAAAAAAAGACATGGGCCTGGACCACATGGCAGCCAGCTCCGATTCTGCTCTATGGTGCCATGACCTGTTCTTAGAACTTAAATTGAAGAGTTTTTTAAACTTAGTCAGTGTCCACTTTTGGTTTGTGCCTTTAGAGTTCAGAAAGTGACCTGGGTGATATTTTGAGAGCCTTGACTTTAGAGTAGAATTGAGCTTACACATAAACTCATCGTAAAGGGAAAAAATTGTATTTGACATCCACACTAAGCCTTAAAGCAAATGTAGTGATCAGAATTTTTGCAAATGATGGACATTCAGCTGAACTGGATAGCATATAGGACAATCCCGAGTCCACCTTTATAAGATTCCTCTGCTTTATTATGGTAATATTCACTTAGCAGAGTAGCTGCAGAGTGACTGAGTGAAAAAATTATAGTAGCACCATCAAGATGATAAGTATTTGTGTAATTTCTTGGCAAGAGAGGAGTTTTGTTTTGTTCTTGTTTTTGAGTGAGAGTCTCACTCTTACCCAGGCTGGAGTGCAGTGGCGCGATCACGACTCACCTCAGCCTCAACCTTGTGGTCTCAGGCGATCCTTCCACCTCAGCCTTCTGAGCACCTGGGCCTGACTGAAAGATAGATTTTGAAGGCCCTAAATTTGCTACCTTTTAGATGAAGACACTGAAGGCCCTATGAGTAGGGTCACTAGATAGTGAGCTAGTCATATTTAATCAGAGCCTGATTTGCACACCTGTATTATCTTCTCTTCTCACATCTCACAGGCCCTAAGGAAATACACTGTTATTCCTGAGAAGAACAAAAGAGTTAAAGCATAGTTCTAGGCTTTCAATGTGTGTCATTTTATTAGGAAGTCATTAACCTGCAGTTTTGCTGGAGTTGCCAGTAACAATATCTATACGGACCACATTTATTCAAGGGAATGTGCTAATAAAATCATATGAGGGGAAGAGAACACAGAATATGTATGTCTGTATGTTGGCAAGGGTTAGAAGGACTCTAGAGGGAAACACATGGTATTTTGAGTTAGGTCACGGGAGCATTTTTCTATAAAGTGTTATTACATACAGAAGTTCCCTTAAGAATGGGCAGCAGTGACATGAATTTTGAAAATGATGAAATCTCCAGATTGAAGACCCCACAGTTCCTACTTATCTTTTAAATACAGTGTAATTGTGAGTTGCTAGAGACGGACAGGATGATGAACTCTATATTTAACTTTCTCAGCCTAATATTGGTTTCATATTTTTTCTCTTCCATGGCACATGGGCATTTAAGAGTGAATCTGGTGTACTCTGAAAAGATTGGGGAAATCTGGCATGCTGGGGAGTGTCCCTGAAAGATTTTTGAAACGACTTGGTCTTAGCTCCTGTGTATATATGTGTGGGTATTTTTAATTTATTTTAATGGTAATATGTGTGTTTTGTCAAAAACTTGGAAAATATTGAGCAGGTACAAAGAAAGAAATAATGGCCCATAATCCTACAGCTCTGAGAAAACTTTCCAAGCATATATATATTTAATATTCTTGAAATGAAATTAGCCTTTTATTACATAAATGACAGCATATGTTGTTTCATTCGCTTAACATTATATTGTGAACATTTCCCTATGTTATGAGTCTTCAAAATATTTTATTTATTTATTTATTTATTTTTGTTTGAGTTGGAGTCTCACTCTATCGCCCAGACTGGAGTGCAGTGGCCGCTCCCGGCCACCACAGCCTCGACA